ACTCAGAATAAATACACACATTTAATATTGTTTAGGATTATAATTGGGATTGCATTTATAATTTAAATTAAAAACCACATCATTTCAATTTGAAACAAATTCTAATCATATACAGTATAATGAGTAGTAAATCATTTATTTAATTAAGTTAAAAAGCTACATTAACGTTAAACATTGACCTTCTTTAATCGATAAATTTCCACCTGTGTTAGTTTTTCGTCACTCAAATTATCGATTTTCTTTAATATTTTTTTTAATTTGTTAACAGGAATTTTAGAAATATTAAAAGAATATTTTTCCTTGCATTCATTCAAAAAGTTATCTATAACAATCGGATCTCTTCTTTCCATTCCACAAACGATTACAGATTTGTCACTAGAAAGATCATATAACCATTTTACAAAATAAGGAATTAGATCCAATGAATAGATACAATCAGTAGCAACAATATAATCATACGGGGGAGTAAAATCAGAAGAAAGTTGTGTTGTCCAATCTAATACTTTAACGTAAGCTTTATGTTGAAATTTTTCATTATTGTGAAGTTGATTATTGAGAATAAATAAATTACGTCGAACATTTTCTTTTAATACATCATCCACGACGGCAGCTAGATCAGTTAAAGTTGTTTCAAATCCTAAAGAGCACATTACTAAACCTAATAGGCCACAACCGCTACCTAGTTCTATGCATGTCAAATTTTTTTCAGATGGATTGTATGAATTGAAGAGGCTTTGCACATAATAAGCGGTTACCACAGAAGAATCCCATACTATGGTGCCATGATTAAACGTATTTCGATATTGTACTAAAGATAACTTTACATTTCCAGATTCGAAGCTGAATTCCTCTGATGAAGAAGACATGATCAGGATTTGATGCAAAGCTATGATATATTGATATAAGACGAGACGCAACTTAATAGGAATGGCAATAACTAGTGGTGTGATCTGTTGATCGGCTGTTCAAAAACCGTAATCCGTATGATCCGTATACCAATACTGTAAGCTTATGTATGTTGTAGATCAAACAGGTCCCCCGACTAATTAATTATAACAGAGAGCCGTTAGCAGTTTTTCTGCAATTTGATTGGATAAAAAAAATTTAGCCAATCAAATTGTTTAATTTTGCAAAATTTTGACCCCTGTTAGCTATTTTTCAAATATGACCTTCATTAGTATTGTTTTGGGTCCTGATTAAACTATATAGATTGTTCAAACTTTAGCTAAGGTCATGTTATTTATTATCTGATTTTTTTTTTATTAGAAGCTTACTTTTTTTTTCTCTTTTAATATATTTTGATTA